GCATGTGCATGAGGAACTCGCACATATCAGGGCGGACCTTATTGCTGTAAATGTGATGTTGGGAGACGTCCGGGCCGGCAGCGGCACCGGACGTATGGCGCTTTGTAGAGATCTGTAGCGCTCTTCTCTGCAGCGACATCGGAGAAGCGTTGCAGAGGCCTCAGCTCCGGTAATGTACTGATTGCTGGTGTCCTTGCAGTTGACTGACTGCCCAACTGCAGCTTGCACACGCCATTGCAAGGCTCGGCAGCAATGCGGGTGCGTGCGTGGCTTCAGATACAAACCTAATTGAAATCAAACAACTTTCCTGCGTTCCATGCCATTGGCGTTGACGCTGCTCAGAAGAGACGCGTGTCAGCGTGCCCTCAAGATGGCTTGTAGTGGCTTGGTGTCACCATCTATCCTGCCTGCATTGGGTTGGTGTATTGAAGTAGGCTAAGCCAGATGCACGTATTGCTCAAGCGGTTCAGTAAGTCAGGCGGCCGCAATCTGTGCCGTTCTGATGTCCAGTTTGTCTCTTGCACGCCCAAGGCGTAAGCAAGCTAAAACAGATCCACGCTGGTGCTCAAAGCTTAAAAGCTGTTGTTTGGCGGGTGCAGATGGTCAGCTGTGATCAATTTGCATTCACTGTGACCTTAAGATGTTCGTTGCTTTAGGCCGCTACCATCAGAGGCTCGAGGCTAAAGCATTGCATGATCCTCATAGTCTTGCGGCTTGGCAAGTCTGTGCAAGGATTTGAATGCAGAATCTAACTGCAGCAGTCAAAATTGAAACGCAACGTGCGCAATGGCTGCCGTTTCGCAAGGGGTCGTGGGGATGCATCATGGTCGGTCGAAGGACTGCTGCTCACAGTCCAGCCAGAGTGCTACAGTTTGTCGTGCCTAGTATGTGTGTGGTAATGAGTGCCCCCTGCCTCTTTTCATGAACCCTGTACCAAGTTCCTCCCCTGCTGCCTGAATTAGGAGCTACAGCAGCATCAGCAATTGCCGCTGCCGGATGGGCAGAGTGATTGTGCAGAGTTGCCAGACAACGCGCTTGGTTTTCTGAGAAGTCAGCACCAGGAACTTCTTGAAAGGCTTCGCAGGCAAGATGACATGCTGCGAGAACTCGTCCAGCGGCCGGTGTTTTCATTACCGCGGTCTCGTACGGGCATGTCCGAAAGATCGCGTGGCTCGAAAGAGTTTCCCGCGGTGCCGCCCTCTGATCAACTGACGCTGAGGAGTGAGGTCAGCAAAGCCACAAGCACCAGCAATTGCACCTCACCAAGAGAGATGAACGTTGATCACGTGTCGTCAACTCGGCCAAACCTCTTTGTCTCCTACACTGCTGCAGACCTGGAGCACAAGGAGCAGGCTCTCCATGTTGCCACGAAGTCAGAGAGGAGAAGGTTTGCATCCATACGGAATTCGAGAGCCTTTGAAGGCAGCAGGAGCCAAATCTGGAAGGGCATGGCTCAACATCCTGCCTTCGAGGTGCTTTTTGGGATAGTGGTCATCACAAACGCGCTTTTCATTGGTGTTGATGTGCAGCAAAGCCTTGGGACCACGGAAACGCCAGTGGAGTTCCGAATCTTACAGATGCTCGGCACAAGCAAGCAGTCCATGTGTGCATGCATGAGCTCCCTGTCATCTAGGCTTTCTGACCATCTCCATGTACTATTTCAGCTGGAGATATTGAGATATTCTGGGAAATGCAGGGACGAGAGAGCGTAAGATCTGGGAGAGTCAGGCTAAGGCACTGCCGCATATTCCGAAGGTCAGCGAATGTACGCAGCTACTACCTTGCGTCAAGTTGCAGCCAAGGTACGTGTATGCGTTTCTCTTCACGGCAGAGTTTGTAGTGCGGCTTATGGCCTTTGGGCTGAACCTCTTCCTGTCCGATGAGTGGCTATGGAGTGTATTGGATGCGGTCATCGTGGGCAGTTCGGTATGGGACTTGTGCGTGGATATCGTAGAGGCCGTGCAACCAGACGTTGCCGAATCGGGTGGCTTCGCAGGTGTCTCCAGCCTCAAGGCCTTCCGCGTTGTAAGAATTACGAGGATTGTGAAAGCAATCCGCCTGATGAGAATCTTCCGCTTCGTTATGGCCTTACGCACGCTCATCACGTCGATCTTTCACACGCTGAAGTCCTTGTTCTGGGCATTGATACTCCTCGGCATCATTGTCTACGTGTTCGCGATACTTTTTGTGCAGGTGGGGCGCAAGAACATGTAGCCTATGCAAGGGTCCTGTATTTAAAGTACTGCAATGGGGGAACAGGCGTCCCTCCGATCATCTGATGCTGCTGATTATTCAGCGGCAAGAAGATGCAGTAGCTACAGTGCAAGATTGCTGCAGTGTTGCTTGCAATGTTACCAGGGAGTAGGCTGCATCCATAGGAGGAGTTTCACACTGCGGTCTTTCGCCTTGCCCAATCCCCAAAATCATTTATGCAATGCAGCCAATCCACCTAATTAGTCACCATGTGTTGAACATGGCAGAGACATTAGCATGCAGTGTCTTACCAGAGACGAACGCGTAGCTAAATCACTGGCAGTCACGCATTGGCTCATTTGAGAAAGTTTTGCGTGACTTGAGGCAGTCGATGATTACCTTGATGACCCGACCAATCCAAAGCTAAGTGACGAAGACCTTCGAGCAAGCGAGCGGTATTTTCGTTCCCTCCCAGCTACAATGCTCAGCTTGTTTATGAGCATTGGTGGTGGAGTCAGTTGGGAAGAAGTTCTGGCACCATTGAGGAGCATTTCCTCACTCTGGTCATGGTGCTTTCTTTTTTATATCTCGTTCACATATTTCGCAGCAGATTTTGCGGCAAGAGAAGATTTTGCTGTTTTCCGGTATGCCGGCTTCGTAGGTATTCGTCACCCTACATCTGAAGTTCCACTTGCAAGAGACTTCTCTTGTTGGGCATCTAGAGCCAGCTGTAGATTCCTAGCTGCTTTCCTTCCTTCATTCATTTCTTCTGGGGAGGGATAGTCTGGGATAGTCTGAGCGGCATGCCAAACTACACATGGAAGATGCTCAGATGAAGCGTTCTTGGTTGTTGTCGGATTGACCTCAGCAGTCCCAAGCATGATGCCACACCGGTTAAATCGCCGACTTTCCAATGTTTCATTTGTTCAGCCAAACGGAGGTCAGGTACACCTTGTTCCAAATCTGTTGTTGTGAAAGTTGCCTCACTGATACTTAATTACTGTCGTCTCAAATATACTATTCCCCAAAATAAGTCGAAATCAAATGTGTATGCTTAAGTTGATGCCCTTGCGATTTTCAATGCGCCATCCCAGCCAGCAGCCGAGGTCCTGAACGTGGTAACCGGTGTGTTTTGTCAGCCGCTTGTTTGCCGTTTATCAGTTGAGCTATAGTCTAAACTCCTAGTATATCCCCTTAGTACCCTCTGTAATACTCCCCTATGCAATCCCCGCTGTAACCCCCTTTTAGGAGTTGAGACCCTCAACCCTGAACCCTAAATTAGGTACCTTCCCGTGTCACGCGGAAAAGGAGTGGTAAAAACAGTACCTATGTTATATGATCCCCTATATAACCCTCCTTAAGGAGTTTAGACTATAACTCAATTTTGGACTTCTGCTCTGCCGAATTCTGACACAGCATGCGTACTCGGCAGACTTATGCTGTGCGAGAGCTGATGATTTCCCTAAATGGGGGGACCGTTTAGGGTTTAGGGTATACTAGAGTCCTTACTATATAGGGACCCCCAAAAACGTACCCCTAACTCTGGGAAACCTCCAGTTTAGGTCAGCCATTGAGTCTGCTCAGAATGATCACACCACTGTGGTCCAATCCATCCTAGCAGATAAGCAGGCGCACTTGCAGAAAATCCGTGAGCTTTTCGGCAAGCTTGGTGACAAGGATGAGGGGATCATCACGTACACCATGTTTGAAGAGAAGATAAACTCACCTGCGGTCCGCGAGTACTTTGAATCTCTCGGTTTGGATGTTTGGGACGCTTGGACGTTCTTTAAGCTTTTGGACCAGGATGCCGGAGGTGCAATTGAAATTGAGGAATTCCTTATGGGTTGCCTCCGTCTCCGTGGGCAAGCCCGTGCGATGGAGCTTGCAAAAATCATTCAAGACCAATCCTGGCTCATCAAGAACCAGGGGCTCCTCGGTGTGTATGTGGAGACAGAGATCGGGGAGCTCAAGCATGAGTTAGCGCGCATTGCAACTTGCACGACGCCAACGCCGTCGCCAACCGCTGCGGAGCAGTTCCCGTTGGCAAGATCCCGGGAAGTGTAAGCTTAGGATGGAGATGCGTGCGATTTTCGCACGCAGGCACGTCACGTTGAAATTCCTGCTTCTTGTTCTTCCTGCTGTTTCTGCTTTGTATGCTCTGCGCGCCAAAATCCAAAATTATCTAAAATGCAAACAGACAGCTTCCTGAGGCATGCTGCCGACCAAGTTGGCGGCACTCCGGATTAATGTTTGGAATGTTTTGGAGCATCCGCTACTTTGACGTTACTGAATCCAACGAATTTGTTCAGTGACATCGCACCGTTTTTGTTGTGGGCAGCAAGTGGATCTGCCTGGAACGGTGTTTTATCACGGTCTTTTAAGATCAGGCTTCCGCTAGTCCGCTTGATGTTGAGATGTTGAGACCAGAGCGTATCTTTCTCCCCAAAGGGAGCAGGGACGCCAAAGGTCTGAATTGTTTGAACCGGCTTGCGTGAGATCTGTGTCAGGAGACATCTCTGAAATCCAGGCATGTCAGGATCATTGATACATGACGCACAGTATGGACAACTCCACGTATATGTGGAGTGCAACCTGGCATAAGTTCCTTGCATCCGGTTTGATGCGTCCTTTGGGGCCTCATGCAAATGTGCGCGGGGTGCTCCAACTGGATGGTGGCGTTGAAAGGCAGAAGGTTGCTCGCGCAGCATGTTGTTACCCCATGTAATGTTTTCGACGTGGGTTTTCAATCGTCTGAACCCAGTGCTGCATGCAACAAGAGAAGTGTCAGATTCCAGATGTTTCGTCAGGTCGCTCGGATTGGTCAGAGCGTACTTGCATTGGTATCGGTCTGGGCCTGAGATGGTCCAGGCATGTTTGTCGCCCCTTTAACTTTCATCTGCAGATCCCACTTACAGTGCTTGTTAGGAAAGCTTTTTGGTTTGGCCTTGCGCAACATCCCAGACCCGCCGCCATTGGGCGATGCCGGCATGACCTATAGAGTTCTGTGCGTTTGGGCATCCTGGTGCCGTTGTTATCATGTGCCTACCTACACCATTTCATGCATGTTGTGGTTTTGCCAGACCAGCCGCCAATGGTTCTGGCTGGGGCATTGCCGAAGCCAACTTTCGGCCAACTGTCGCCGACCATGCCGCCTACGCAGGGAACTTGGATGATGTCAGCCGCAATCGGTCAGAGCCAAGCGCTGACCAGATTCCAGTCAATACTTGCTATTATGGGACGTTTGGCATCACTTAGGTACACCATGATGCCAACTATCCCTGACCCGCCCAAGTGGGGCGAGCCACCCACATCCGGGCCGGTTCCGCCTAAGATGTCAAAGGAACAGATGCAGAGGCCAGAGGGAGGAGAATCCTAAAGCTTTGTTGTGTATTGCCGCAAGACTGAGTTCGCATAGCCTGTGGCAGGCCACGGCATAGGTTGTCATAGGTTGTCTCTCTGAACTCTGAGGATGCTGGATCCTGCGCGGTTCCTTCTCCGCCCAGACCAGGCCACCAACGTGAATGGTGAATGATTTCTGGGTTCGGATTCAGGGATTCGTTCTGACAGGAGGTCATCTGCAATGAGCATGCGGCATGTCTCACACCATTGCTGGGGGCCCTTGTGCTTCAGCATAAGCCATGTTGCTGAACAAGGGTATCGGGACACAAACAGGAACTTGCCAAGCATGTTGTGGCTTAGACCTAGAACGCAAACTTTCCTGGTCCGTGGCGATGCTGGACCAGGGTTATGAGAACCTTCCCCAAAGTTGACCCTCCTGCGCAAGCAACTTGAGGATGAAGATTTGCAAAGATTACACGTTCGGTGAAAGCAGGTTTGTTTGTCATGAAGTGTTGATGCACTTCTAGGAGCATGAAACATAACAGGTTTGCCAACAGCTCTTCGTCGCCATTGGGGCAGCCACACGGACAGAAGGCAGTGCATGTAACCTTAATGTTAATGTGTGAAGACGTCTCGCCTGTCGCTGCTTCAGATTTTACGGCTACTGTGCAGAAGTTGCTTGCAGTCAGAAACGTTGACGGTGGCCGTTGCAAACCAGGGCAGACTTAAACAGCTGGCTGCAAGTAGACCACCCTACAGGTTTGCTTCGCAACTCCTTCAAGACGTCCTTCCGCGTCCCTAGCGCCGGCATGTCGCTGCCACCGAAGGACCTGCGACTATACACAACGCTCCATCGCTACATATCCCAATACAATTCCCGTATAATCCCTTCCCCCTAAGAATAAACGACGTCCCCCCCCTTATAATAAATAAGCCGGGTGCTCAAAAATTATTTATTATTAGGGGTGCATATTTATTGAAAGAATTTGGTAGGGCCGCCTTTCCTTATAAAATCAAATGAAATCGAATTAAGATCCCGTTAGAACCCATAGAAATTTAATTGAAATTCCTTTTAAAATCAAATGAAATCGAATTAAATTCCTTATAAAATCAATTGAAATCGAATTAACATCCCGTTAGAATCCATAGAAATTTAATTGAAATTCCTTTTAAAACCAAATGGAATCGAATTGAAATTAAAAACAATTGAAATCGGATTAAAATCTCGTTAGAATCCATAGAAATTTAATTGAAATTCCTTTTAACACCAAATGGAATCGAATTTATAGTCAAAAAATCAATTGAACTCGAGTTAAAATTCCTTTTTAAAATCAATTGAAATCGAATTAAAATCCCGTTTGAATCAATAGAATTTTATTCAAAGTTCTTTGTTAAATCAATTGAAATCGAATTAAAATCCGGTTAGAATCAATAGAATTTCATGAAAAGTCCTTTTTTACATCAATTGAAATCAAATTAAAATCCCGTTAGAATCCATAGAATTTTAACTAAAATTCCTTAAAATCAAATGAAATCGAATTCGAATCCCGTTAGAATCCATAGAACTTTAATTGAAATTCCTTCTAAAATCAAATGGAATCGAATTAAACTCCTTTCAAAATCAATTGAAATCGAATTAAAATCCCGTTAGAATCCATAGAAATTAATCGAAATCCCTTTTACAATCAATTGAAATCGAGTTAAAATTCGTTTTAAAATCAAATGAAATCGAATTAACATCCCGTTAG